AAATCATCGATTAAGGATTTACACACATTTAGTGGGACTTGGAGCTCTCGGTTCAATATTTTTCATATTTTTCACTTTAATCCACTGGTTTAGTCTATCACTGCAGTTCAGCCCGAATCTAGTTCGGGCAACAGAAAGGCCGAGCCCCGCCAGGACAACTGGAAGGGGAAAGGTGGAGGTTCCAGCAGACGCTCCACCACCCTACCTGCATTTCTGAAGAGGTCCAGAAGTCTAGAAGTCTATATAGTGCCAGACTAAAATAATATGGCACCACTAGCTCACGACTTCTATTTAGTATTCAGAACACAAGTCAAAGAACAAATTCGGATACCACTAGCTCACGACTTCTATTCAGTATCCAATATACAAGTCAAAGAACATATTCTGAAACATTCATTACCTTGATTTCCTATTCTACATAATTTGATCAAGAAAATGTTGGTCGAGCAACATATAACTCCAAAAAGCTACATCACATTCAATTTCGAAGGGTCCATGCAGAGTGATATCATAATTATCAATATTTGAAATTATCCAGACATAATTAAACCGATTGCTGATAAGAGGTCTAGATTCATCCCTATCATCTTCCCTTCTTACTTTTCTTTTCCTTTTTCTTTAGTTTGAAAAAAAAAAAAAAAAAAAAGTTCCACATCAAATAATTCGTCATTGCTCACTACTAGACAAACTAGAAGAAGTACAAAAGATTCTATATGAAACAGAAATTACATGGTATCCAGATTATAGGTACTTGAGAGCAAAGAAAGCAAGTTACTCATCATCTTTATATGGATACTCCTCAGGGACTTGTTTGAGAAGTTTGACCTGCAACTCGAATACATCATCCCCTCTAAGCATGTCACGCAGCCATGTGACCTCAGTTTTCATCGACACCTTATATAAGGGAATGAAGAGTATAGGTTATGTTACAGTGGGCTGAGACAAACGAGCACTGGACTAAGACAAACATTAGAACCTACTAAGATTTTGTCTTGTTCTTTCTAAACTCTTTTCAATCAAAGCTTAATAGGAATATCTTTTCAAGGTTTGGAAAAAAAAAAAAAAATATCTTTTGAGTTTTTAACAAGCAATAACACCATACTCACATTGATATAGATCTAGATTCGTATTTTTATGTTAACTGATATGTTGGAGCCTTTATGGTGTATAGTTACTAATCAGGTTAAATGAGCTTGTTGGATTTTTCACGTCCGCAATTCTAAAAGGATTATACTCATTACTCAAGCTATACATATAGTAAGAATATCATAAATGAAATGTAGGCATATTAAGAGTTTAGCAATAGCAAAGGTTGAAACCGAACTAAAAAACTATATGCTGAAAAAAATATATATTTCAGAGAAATAGAATTTTCTTTTCCCAAAAAAGTATGCTGGAAGTTAAATTGGAGAAAAACATATTTCACAAAAGAATACCAGATCAGCAAAGGATATGAAGGGCAGAACGCTCACCATCTCAAGAGCTCCTCTGACAACACCGCTCAACATATTGCAATAGTGAAGACCTTGACAGGTATCAGGAAGCTCAACAAAATCCACTAAAGGATTATCCTCCAGTATTAGGCTGCAAGTTGTCCCTTCTGAGTCCCAGTTAGTTACGGATGCTGTGACCCCTAAGAACATCTTGAAACCAACCTATTCAAGTAAATTATAATACTTAAGCTACAGAAACACAAACGAGTAATGAAAACCCACCATTTTTCAGCCAAGAGTTCTTTGAGAGCTTCAAAGAGACTCGTTAGCCAGGCAATCGACATGGCCACTCACAAGCACACAAGTTATTAACTATGCTAATAGCAGATTGTCACATGTCATTCAAAATGGTCTTTAAACCAGCAGAGTATGGGGAAATATTAACTATACTAACAAAGAGATCACCTCAAAATTTTCCTTACAGCATTCTTGTCTTCCAATTTCACCAAAAAAAAAACCATAAATAGGCCAAAAAAAGCTAGAGAACAACTAACAATAATCATAGTTTCAAGAGAATTCAATTTCAATCAACTCAATAAACATTGAGATATTAGAATTTAGAGCTGAGGAGAAAGATATACCTTTGCAATTACTTCAGCTGTTTCCCTGAAGTCAACACACCTCGACACATTAGATTTTGCTAGGAACTCGTCAACTAGCCGGACCCCAATATTGTATCCCCTGCCATGAAAAATTACCACAATTCTCAAATGTCACCACCACACTAGCATTGACCTAAGAGGGAATAAATCAAGAAAGAAAGAAGAAATTCATCATTAACAAGCCACAGAGAGAGAAAAACAATCACATTTGATCGAGCTGCTTATTGACTTCCTCCACCTCCTCCAGATCGGTTAGCAGCTGGCGCACGATAGCCCCATATGTGAGAGTAAACAGCTCCGCATTCTCATGTAGAGCCACGTAAAACATGATTAAAGCCACGAAACCCGATTGGTAACATCAATGGATTAAAGTGAATGATAAATGTTTCGGATCAAAGGGTAAACATAGATAGTTTCGGTTTCTCGATCAGAAACACTTACCACGCGATCAATGCTTGCGAAAATCGCATCGCCGGATTTCGGAGCGGCTGGAGCCATGAGATTGTAGATGGATTCAGATCCCTAATAAGATGAGTGTCTCGATGCAGATCAGTACTATGAGTTGGGACTGATGGTGCAGTCTCAAATAACTATTAAGACTCGCGAAAGTTTTAATTTTTTTATTTTTAAGAAAAACACCTTATATCCACAACCTGTATATAATTGGTCTGGCAAAAATCAAAGAAACAAACCAAGGCGAAAAGGCTTAACTTGAGCTAACATATGCCCGAGAGAACAGTTTGCAGCACAAAGTGGGCCAAAAAAAAAAATAAATAAATAAATAAATAAATAAATAAATGTCTACATGAATATGAGACGGGGTAGTCTTAACTTGTAAATCCGCACTAATGTACAGAGGCGTAGTGAAACGTCGCTTCGAATAATAGAATTTCCTGTATTTTATGTTATTTATCAGCATTTTATTTTATTTGCTATACCTTATTTATATTATTTTATTCATGTGTTAGTTCGATTTTATTTTATTCGTCGTTCGTCGAACTATTAGAAGTCTTTCGGTTTAATCACGTAGTGTTATCTGTTGGAAAAATCAGTTGTAAAACTTGGGTTTGACCCGGGTTTGACTGAATTTTT